GTTGCCCGACCACAATGGACAGGAGCAGAAGATGGACCCTGTGGCCTTTGAGAGGCAAAACGCCCTGTCGGGGGCGAACCACGGCCAGTCGAGGCAGCGCCAGGACCAGCCCGCCGTCACCACCATCATCAAAAGGGGGTCTAGACGGAGAAACAAGACCTCTTTTAAGGACAAGAGTCTGGGCGGACCGGAAGATGGAGTGGCCGCCCATTATGATCCCTCGAGCAGCCGTAACTTCAGCGAGACGCGGGCAGGGGAAATGGCCAAAATCCATCTAGCAGCACCAGGAGAGCCGGGCAGCGTTGAGGGTGCTCCTCAAGTCCCGAGCAGTGACTTTGTGCCCAAATGTGAGATCTCGGGCAAGGATGCCCTGTCTGCCCTCCACCGTGCGGGTTCACGGCAGTGCAGACAGGAGATTGCCAACATCGTGTGCCAGCACCAAGCGGGACAGCTCATGCCTCAGTCTCTGCCTCAGTTTTGCCCACAGCATGGTAACTGCATTCCTTCAATCATTATATCCACATCCAGTCATGCTTAAAATTTGACATGCAGAATTTGTTGGTTTTCTCCCTGTCCATCTTTAGTGATCTCCAGTGCGGTCCAGCATGCAGGTTTCACTGATACTGACCTCTCCAAGGTGGAGAACCCAGTCAGGGTGGTCTTCATGCTGGTGGTTCATGGACGAGCAGTCCTACAGTTGAAACGTCTCCTCAAAGCCATCTATCACAAAGACCACTTTTATTACATCCATGTGGACAAGGTAAGTTAGCACCCAACAGGTTTCTTTTTCCCATTGAGATATCACTGAAAACAAAAATGTGCTCAGAATTTGTGTGTGTCTAAGAACAGCCTCATGAACCATAAATTCATTATAACAAGGGTCTCGGTTTGAGCAATTTATTTTTGCAGCAAAATCCAGCAGTTTCAGTAGGAGTTTCGAGTGAAGGTGAAATATTTCTCACACAGATTTCCCCACGTTTAAGTTGGTCATGTGGATTCGCTGTGTTGACCAACAGAAAGCTGTTTGGATTGAAGTGGCTTCTGTGTGAGCTGTGCTTCATGCATTGCTACATTATTAACAATAGACAATGGAACATTTTCAGGCTAAGTTTTGCTGAAATTTCCCTAACAAGACTGCAACTTAAGTCAAGAACAACTGCAATTTGTTGAGTCAATTCCAATTGAGAACTTGTGAGTTCAAGACTGAATTGTGAGTCTTTTTGAACGAGTCAATGAAAAGCTGGCTCATAAGAGTGGGACTTGCTTACATTGTCTGTTGTGTTGTGTAGAAGCAGTGGGTAGATGGGTTGCATTTGCAGATCATGACATTTACTTAAGACTGCTGAAATAGAAATCACTGTAGATTCAGCGGTGTTAAACGTTAACATTTTAATGTCAACACCGGTTTCAGATTTATTTATTTTTGTGAAGAATGAGAGCTGCTTTCCGAAGATATATTCCAGAGCAAACAACTATGAGAAATGGGTTATACTATAATAAGTGCTCAAATATGCTTATTTTCTGTCATAAAGAGTGGTTAGTGTCCTCAAGGTTTGGTTTCGTATAGGAATGCACCAACATTTTTGGTAACACTTTAGTATAGGGACCAATTCTCACTATTAAC